CCCCAAGTTTTCGGGGAGCGTGAGCATCGATTTACGGCGTTTGAGGCGGCGGCGTTAGGTTTGGGTGTTCGGCCGTGAGAGATGACGAAAGGGAGGCTTAAAAAGGAGGCAACTTTGATGTGGTTTTGTCCTTCTCGGCCGTCTTTAGAGGCCACCATCGGCGTTCGGAGCGAGTGGAGGCCACCAAGGCGGTGGGTTTCTTCTTGGTGAGGTGCGGCGGCTCACGCATGAGAGATGGGGAGAGGAGAGTTGGGAGAATAGAAATTAGGGTTGTTTTTGTTTAGACATAAGTTAGGCTTTAAATTCTAATTTTTGAATTTTCTGCAATTTCTTAATTTAAGCTTTAAGTTCTGATTGCTTCATTTTAGTCCTTTATTTAACATTTTAATTTTAATTTTGTATTTTTCAATTGTTTCAATTTAGTCCCTTTATATTTACTAATTGCTTTTAATTTTGTCTTTAATTTCATTTTGTTTAAATTTAGTCTTAGAATTTTAGACTTTAAATTAAACCTTTAGATTTAGATTTAAAATATTTTAGTCCTAATCTAGATTACTTAGGTTTTAGTTTTAGTCCTTTAATTTAGGAGAAATTTTAATTTGGTCATTGTTTTTGCTCGAGATTCTATTTTAATTATCAAATCAAATAATTGATTAAAATTGATTAGGTTAATAATTAGAGCCTCCACTTTAGGTTTAATTTCACACTTAGTTCTTAAACTCAGGGGAATTTTTAATTTGGTGCTCGATTGTGCTCGAGGTCCCATTTTGACTATTCAACTCAATAATTTATTTAAAAAAATGACTTGGATTAATATTAGAGCCTATAATTTTAGGTTTCATCCCCTAGGTTCTTTAAATTTCATAATTTGACCCTTTAAGTTAGAATAAGCTTTAACTAATTAATTTAGTATAATTACGCTCAATAACTGATTGTTTGATTGCATTTTGTTTAAAAAAATGAGACGATATTCATTTATTAGGAGGTTAGTAGTGTATCTCCCAGCTTTTATTCGGGAGTAATCGCTATTGATTCCCGAAGTAAATCATCCTTTTAAAATCATACATCATGATTTTAAAATGGATAAAGCAATGTTTATTTATTGTGGCTGATAACAAAGCTTTTGCTTGGGGTGGTCATTATTAGTCTTGATAAATTGACATCATTTTTAAAATATGCATACATAGTGAATCTTAAATTAAATAAAATTTCAAACTCAAAATTTTCAATTTTAAAATATAAGGTAATTGTCTAGGTACTAATTTGGGCGTTGTGGAGTGCTAATCATTCCCCATGCGTAACTAATTCCCGAACCTAATTTCTGATTTTGTAGACCAAAACTTAGTATTTTTAGTAAAATAAAATGTTTTATTAAATTTACTTGATTTTAGATGTTCCAATCTCACCTTAAAAATGATTGGTGATGACTCTAATCTTTTCATTAAAATCATTTATTTTCCAAAACATCGAATCAATTTTCCCACCGACATTCGGTCACGACAACTGCCTTTTCTTGATCCACTACAACATCAAACACATCCATACTAATTAACTGGCACTAAACAGACATACATCTCCTTAACTAACATTGTATAAAACCTCTTACATCGGTCTGCTTCGATAGGAACGACCTCAGATGCATACTTTGACAATCTCATGAATTTAGCCTCATACTCAGATATATTCATCGAACCCTAAACCAAGGTTATAAATTCTTTCTTCGTGGCATCCATATAAGAATCACTCATGAATTTAATCTTAAAGGATAACAAAAAATATAATCCCATGTCAATCTACTCGCATCTTACCCTTCTTCATGGTATTCAACCATCGATGTGTGTTACCTTATAGGAGGGAGGTCGTACACCCCAACTTCTCTTCAGCAGAATAGGTCATTTGCTTGAGAATACGCTCTATTTCATCCAACCATTCCTCAGAAAAAGTAGGGTTATCTCCTCTAACACCTAGCGTTCACAGATGCTCTAGAGGCAATCCACGCTGAGCAGGTTGAATAGGAGCCAGGGGAACATTAGTGATATAGTGAAAGGCACTAATCGTCACCTTGTTCAATGAATCAACATCAAAAGCTTGAGCATTAGGCCTTAGAGAGGGCGTAGAAGGGACATTAGTCGCACCATCATCTAGTGCACTCATATTATTATTCTGGCTCTACGAATAGACACATTAATACGAAGAGAGAGGCATGTTTATTTTTCTAACAAATAAACACAAGTAAACATAAGATTTCATAAGTGGCAAGTGATATATGGAAAATTCTACAACACAATTTCTTTCGGTGTTATGGAAATGTGTACCCAGTCCTACCCTAAACATACAATATTTCAAACAATATCAATCAAAGGTTCACAATTACTTGGTTTCACTTCTTGGTACTAATTTCATTGGTCAGAGTGTTTCCAACTTGGTTATATCTGATACGACCAAATGTGACACTCGCTACTTGACCAAGATGATCCAAACTGGATACTAAATATCGTATTAGTCACTTAAGTGATCCGATATAGATTCAAATATGTAGAATTTGTTTGAGAATAAATAAAATTAAAAATTTCCATTTAATCATACATTCAATTCATTTGTATCAATTGAGTAAAAACTTGGAACAGGTAAAAAGTCTCACTAAATCAATAATTATACTTTGGGTATTTATATCTTTTCATATTTATGTTATGAAAAACGTGCCAAAATTAGAACCTAAGATATGATGCTTCAACTCAATATGCATACAAGCATCAAGCAAAATTATAACCAAAACATCAATATACATATCGTAAATTTCTAATTCAAACACGAAATTAAAGTTACATACATCTACTATAAAAACTTCAGCTCGGTATGGGTTAGAATTTATACTCAATTAAAGTTTCAAAATCCAAGGACAGATTTATAAAATATTGTTCATATGAGTGCTAAAGGCTAAAAATTAATTTTAGGGACATAAAAAGAAGATTTAGAAAGAATTTCCATGAACCTAAACCTAAAGGATCAATCCTTTTTTTCGAGGGATTAGCTCAGAGAGAGGGAGAGAGATCCCCTCTATATTTACATGATAGTTTATATACACGTCCTTAGTGTCAAGCCTAAGGTAATAATGATTATCTATGGATTAACAGGCTAAACAATTATAATGTCAAATAATTAATTTGACTTAATAATTACGTGCATCAGTCAATGGTCATGTGAAAAGATTTTAGTTGACCGGTGAATATGAATCTCTAAAGGTTCTAGAAACTCCGAAAATGTTCATAGATGGAGGAGTGACAACGAAAATACAATTTTAATATTTAATATTTTCATTAATTGGATTAATGTCGTATTTTTCGTGAAGCTTTAGTTTAATAGTAAAATTGAAGTAAAAAATATACAAAATTAGATGGGATAACAAATAGTTTTATAGATTAAATGTGAAGTTATATATGTGCACTTAAGGCACGTCCCCTTGCATCATTATCCGTAATCCCATATATAATTATTTATTGATAGGCAGAAAGCTAAGCATTAGTTTAGTGGGTTTTCAATTTCACTTTCATTCTCGAATCACAAGTGTGCAAAAAGGAGAAGATGGACCACTCAAACCCACACTTCCTTTCACTCAATCACCCCCCATGAATTACTATTCGAAAATTGTACAGTGCATTTCAAAAAGTTTTAGTGTCAACAAAAACGACTTCTCTTGTCTTCACCCTTTACACAAATAAATATAAAAAAAGGTCCCAAATTAACGAATTAATGGCAAAAACCCATTTAGTTTAATCCCCACCACCTTTATTGGTTATATGCTACCCATGCGCTGGACGGCTTACACGTAACCTTTTTTATTCAATTTAACTTCAATATGATTCAATATCCTTAGAGCCTTAAACTGTTGTATTTGTATTATTAGATTCTAAGATAATTGTTTTGCTGCCCACTGTACGGCGTATTGTATATTAATGATTCGTGACTTTGGCAAGTTTCCGGTGTGTATGTAATTAGACAATCTAATATATTTTGATTATGTGAATGGGGTTTGCAATACTTTCGGGAAAAATTATTAGAAACTATTGAATTTCTGTTAATAAAGACGTTCAAAATACTCCATTATCTGAATAAAGTTTTCATGAATTCTTTAGAAATATTAAATCGTTCTTCGTCGCAATCATTTTTTAAAATTATTGTGTCCTGATCGTTTTTCAGAATCTATACATCTATGTTTTTGATAGATGACAGATATATATCTATAGTTTATCATCCTATTATATGTTTAATAATTTATAAATTTTGGTTTGAATATTAGTATTTTTTTATATTTTCAGGTAAAAAACAAGGAAATTGGTTTAGGCACAAGATATGCATTAATTTAGGTGATTGAGTGAAAGTGGTTGGCCAAGAAATGAGAGAGGTTAAGAGTGCAAAATGGCGTGAGGCTGAGGTTATGATCCCAAGTCCAAACGCGGAGTGGCTTAATTAATTACATTAAAAATGGCAAAAGACAAAGGACAGAAACACACATCTCCCAACTATCATTATTCCCCTTTATCTTCTATTTTTTCTCTCTTTTAGTCCTGTGTTATAAGTAGAATAGAATTCAAGAATTTTAATATTTCTTTATTTGTATTTAATTTTTTTATTTTTCCCTTAATATATTAATATATTAAATTATATTTAATAATTTATTCAAAATAATAAGTATACACCTGACCTCCTCTAACTATGAATGATGTTGATTTTGATGACACATATATCCCACATTCCCCCCTCCCCTCCTCTCCCCTTCCCTTATAAATCATTGATCCCCTTCACCATAAATTTCCAAGCAAAGTCTTTTGGTGTTTGTACGGTTTCGTCTACCTCTGCGAATCAAACAATATTGTTTTCTTTTTTATCATTTGAAAAAAATTATAAGTGTTTGAATTCGGATTTTAAATTTATTGTAGGAATAAACTGAGTTGAACTCAGGTTACTGAGCTCAATCAAACAATGCTTTTACTCCATCTTCTCTCTTATTTTCTATCTTGTTATATATATATATATATGAAGGCACTAGTGTTTGATGTTTAAGGTGAGAGTTTGTTATTAAACAATGGGTTATGGTGAGCTTATTATACGAAGCTATGATGCCCAAAATGATAGAGCTCGAGTAGAAGATTTCGAGAGAAGATGTGAGGTAGGCCCAGCTAAGAGAGTGTTTCTCTTCACAGACACTTTGGGTGATCCCATCTGTAGAATCAGAAACAGTCCAATTTACAAAATGCTGGTATCATTTCTCTGCCCTTTCAATCCTCTTTTTCAGGACCATTATTTATCATATTGATTGATCAATGTTTCATTTTCTTTTTCATGGTAGGTAGCTGAGTTGGACAGCCAGTTGGTTGGTGTCATCCAGGGCTCCATAAAGCTTGTAACAGTTCACAAACCACCCAATGATGTAGCCAAGGTGGGCTATATCTTGGGCTTAAGGGTTGCGCCGCTTTATCGAAGAAGACGGATCGGGTCGAGCCTCGTTATCAAATTGGAAGAATGGTTCATTGTCAATGACGTTGATTATGCATATATGGCCACCGAGAAAGATAACGAGGCCTCGGTCAAGCTCTTCGTAGACAAGCTCAGTTATGTCAAATTCCAGACGCCGACGATTCTCGTAAACCCCGTCAGCCGTCGGAGGTCCCAAATATCATCCAAAGTTGAATTAGCAAAGCTGAATATCGAAGAAGCCGAATCGATCTACCGTAAATTCATGTCGTCGACACAATTCTTCCCTATTGATATAGGAAACATATTGAGAAACAAACTGAGCTTGGGAACCTGGGCTGCTTATCCCAGAGGAGAATCGTGGGGAGAAGTCCCAAGTAGTTGGGCAATGCTTAGTGTATGGAACAGTGGGGAGCTTTTCAAGTTGAGGTTAGGGAATGCACCTTTATCTTGTTTGATGTACACCAAGAGCTCACGGTTCATGGAAAAGCTTCTCCCATGCTTTAAACTGCCAGGCCTGCCGGATTTCTTCCATCCATTCGGCTTCTACTTCATATACGGTGTGTACGGAAAAGGTCCCTTGTCCGGCAAGCTGGTGCGGACCCTGTGTCGATTCGTGCACAACATGGCTTCATCAAAGTCCAAGGATTGTAAGGTTGTTGTTACAGAAGTTGGAGGAAGCGACACGTGGAGAGTTCACATTCCACATTGGAAATTACTGTCGTGTCCGGAGGATTTGTGGTGCATAAAGGCCTTGAAGAATGAAGAAAGGGATAGGCTCCATGAATTGACAAAAACCCCACCAACGAGGGGTCTTTTTGTTGACCCAAGAGAGGTCTGAAAATCCTGGCCCGAGCCGCATGTAGGTCTTTTGACATGATATCCATCTCCTTGGTGGGGGCTTTTCTCTTGTTCCTTTCACATCGCTCACACTAAATCTCAAAAGTTTTCCTCAATTAGAACCCACCCTCGGTCTCCTAATTTGCTTGTAACTTTTTTTTTTCATTTTCACCTCATCATTCCGACTGATCAATCGCCAGTGGTATATTGAGGGGATTCTCCATTATCATGAAAGAAAAAAAAACATCATACACTTCTTCAATAATTTATATTTAACTTAATTGCAATTTTCATTTCAATCATAAATTTTTAATTTAACCAAATTATATCATTCGACTTTTACTATTAATTGAATCATTTAACAGGAAAAAAAATTCATTGAGATGTTTACTTAACATATTCTTTAGATATCATCATCAAATAATATTTAATTGATAGTTTAAATAATTTTCATTAATTTTTTTTAAAAAAATGGGTTTTTATTTGAATTTAATTAAATGAAAATTTTGAGAAAAATCTAATAAAATTTTAAATTGTGAATATTCAACTTATTTGATGGTGATATATGTAAAATATGTTAAGTGGAAGTGTTAATTTAAATTTCTTCGTTATAATTATTTAATAATGTTAATATAAATAATTTATAAATAATAAAATTTAAATAAGATAATTTTATCGAACTCATCAAGTGATTTCAATATTAAAGGGAATGTTATTCTCATAGAGCTCCTAAGTTCGAGTAGTTGCATCTGTAGAATTTATGTACGTTATCAATTGGTTAAATTTTTTTTGAATAGATATTACCTTATAATCACTCTATATTATTAAATAATAATAAAAAAAAAGTTAATTATATTAAAAACGTGTGATTAAAATGAAAATGGAAACATTAAACTAAAGTACCCTCCATCTGTTACATGTTTTAAGCAAAACATTTCCAACTCAAGATTTCGGCGGCATCTCTTTTGTTTGTTGTGTTGTGGCATTTTGGGAAGATGTTTATCTCACCATCGTCAATGAAGGCGTCTTCCATTTTCAGTAAGCCTAGCTTATGCAGAAAAAGCAATGGTAGGTTAGGGTTTTAGGTCAGTTGTCTAGTCAATAAGACCGTATTAAGATAAAGCAGCCTAATAAGCTACGCGACTATTCTTTCCTACCATATTTGGTAGCCTATTCTCAATCCGCCACTGTTAAATTCAAACCCATTAATATTGCCAAAGTCAATGTTTTATTAACAATCCTGATGAAACTTTATTGGTAATTAATAAGAATGTTAACTTAGGTAATCATTTAGATTTTAGATTGAATTACGTCATGTCAGGTTAAATTGGATATAAATTATGTCAGGTTAAATTGGATATAAGTTATGTCAAGTTAATTGAATGTTTGATTCGGACTAACTTAAATCCGGTTCGACTCAGATTCAGATTATTTTCATGTTGACTTGAAATAAGATTTAGTTCGGGTTTGAGTCAGGTTAATTTTAGTTCAGATCAATAGCTCATGTCAAAACAGTTTGAGTCTAGATCAATTAAATATCAGGTTAATTCAGGTTTGGATAGACTTCAAGTCATGTCTCGTTTAGATTGAGTCATGTCATTGACAAATAAAATTTATGTTAGATCTTATCGGGTATGAATGGACTATTAATAGTCGAGATAATCAAAACAATGTCCTATAGTCGGGAGATCATTTTGTAACTTTTAATTGTTGGAGGACTCAACAAAACATTTCCCTATAGTCGGGAGACCATTTGTGTATTTTACCCTAATATATAAATATTTTAAAATCTGCTAAGTTAATAAGTTGGGTATGAGGTATTAGGTTTAGAATTTAAATAAAATAATAACTAAGAGGTATTAGATAAAACTAGCATGTATGAAAAAAATATAGATAGGCCTAAATAAACTTGGGTTAACCATTTTAGTAGTATTGATAATATTAGATAAAATTTGAAACTAATATATTAGGTTGGATCAAATTTATGATGTTAATTTCATGGAACTACATATCAAAACAAATCACTAACTAAATTAATATAGGATAAAATTATAAATGATCATCAAACTATGATAAAATGATCCTTTTAGTCATTCAACTTTTTAAAAGTTATAAAATAAGAATTAAACTTTAGATTTTGTTAAAAATATAAGACCAATCATTAACTATCATTAAGGGATGATGTGATATTCTAATTGATAAAAAAATATCTTCTTTGATCCCTCAATTGATTAAAATTTTCTTTTGACATTTTCAATATTTTTAAGTAAGACTTTTTAAAATATACTTTTTAATAAATATATTGGATTTTAGAATTTATTTCTGAAATTAAAAATATATTTTTAAATTATATTTAAATTTATTAAACATAATTTAAATAATTGAATCACATTGCTTAATAAAAAAATTGATTTCGCTTTCTATTGAAATTATTGGATCTCGAAAATTATAGATTATAAATTTTAAAAAATTAATCATAACTAAACGAAAATTATTTATAAAATAATTTGAAGAATTAAAAAATTCATAAAGTTATAATTTTAAACATATTTATCATTTTAAAAATAAATTGTGAATTTCTATAGTTTTTTAATATATTTTTTAAATTATTACTTAGAAATATCAAAAAATTATCAAAAATGAAACTTTATTTATAATTAGGGGGTAAATGAGATTATTTTATTAATTTAATATATCACTTCACCTTTAACGACAGTTAAAATTATCGTATATATTTTATAAAAAAACAAAGTTTAATATATATTATATAACTGTTGAATGTTTAATATCTAAAAAGATTATTTTAACATAATTTAGTGACCATTTTAAACTTTAATCCTACAAAATTAGTGGATTAATCATGGAGCAGTCTTTGAGTTTTTTTAATGTTTACTCAAATAAGAACAATTTGATATATTATATTAATAGTGTGTTTCCGCAGAGCCGTCTCAGACATTTTCGAGGTACTGAACGAAACTAAAAATAAACCCTTATAAAATGAAAGTATATTCTATTACTTTGAACAATTAATTTAAAATTACATTAGTAAATCGTAAAAAATGATTAAATTAAGGGCTTATATTATAAAAGTAAAAAGTATGTTTGAAAAAAATAGGGGTCAATTTTAAAGGTAAAAAGTGAATTAAAAAATTAGGGTCATCAATTATAAATATAAAAAGTGAGATGGAAAAAACTAATGGTCCCGATTATAAAGATAAAAAGTATGATCACAAAAATTAGGGGCCTCAATTATAAATATAAAAAATAAAATTGAAGAAAATGAAAGGACTCAATTATAAAAATAAAAAATATAATAGAAAAATTAAGGATCCTATATAAAAAAAAGAACTTAAGTGGTTGCTCAGGATGCACCCCTAATAATCGACTCTGTGTTTCGATATACGACGTGCACCGTAGACTCATCCTAACTTCATATAATCTATGGACACATCTACTATCACGTGCACTCCTTTTATAATGTTTACCACATTCACTATCATGTATGAGTTTTGCTCAACTTAATACATCACATTCGTGACAAGTATCAAAGAACCTCTCAAAGCAAAAGTACTTACGTTATGTCATAAAATAGAGTTATGTGATTTATTTGATTATATATACATGCAAATTAAAAAAAAAGATATACTAATTATGATAAAGAGTCTAATAGAAAATACACAATCCAGTCGTAAATGAAAGCTTTGATGGTGGCTGCTTAACCGAATTGGATGTAGATTGCGGAGCCGATTAAGACTACATGAAAATCTTGAATTAGATTTTATTGGTCTCACAATTCCATAAATGATATCGAAGACCCAAGGGGAAAATTATTAGTTGAACAGTTCTCACGTACAGTAAAATTAATACGTCTAAAAAAATTATCTCTTTTGATTTAGACAAAGAATTATAATCGACGAAAGAATGACCGTTGACTGATATTTTTAATAATAGAGAGATAGTAATAAGAAGAAAGATGAAGATCGGTTTAGATTGTGAAGGACTTCAATCTTTTTATCAATCTTAATTGGAGTATTTATAGTAATCTTAATCTGGTGGCAACGTCAGACATAGAATAATGATGGTTATTTGTAGACTAATAGGCTATATAAATCTAGTAGTCAGACCTTGGATATCATTTTGAAATGTCATGTAGGTTATTCGGTAGTCTTGTCCGAAAAGAGAAAGCTGATTAGAGGCTTCGATAAACAGAGAGACTTGTTTAAGGATCATGTCTGAGAGAGAGTTAATAATTTCATAAGGTATAATAATTTAATTCAAATACAATAGTTGAGACATGGATTATGAAGGATGAGTTTGAGGCATGGAGGGTGTGAAGTAAGAAAAAGAGGCCCTGGGTTGCGTTACAGATCTAAAACAGTGAAATGAACAAAAGAGATAAGGAAGTTTTGTTTGTTGTGGCTTCGGTTTGCCGATGTTTCCTCAAATTGTCTCATCATTTGGTTCACCAAATAGAGTCGTGCATGAATAAAGAGTGGTGCGTTTTGAGTAAAAAGGTGGTGCAATTATTGGGGGGAGAAGAAAGTTTGGTTTGGAATTTGCATATGCTGTCCTTGCCTGGAGTATTATTCCGCAACAGGTGAAAGTTATAGGGCTCTTTCCCTTGTTCCACAGGGGACCCCTTTCTATTTTTGATTGGAACAACCCTTGGGCTTTTGTGAATTGCTTGCTTTTTCATGATCTATGATCATGGGGTGTGGGGGGGCTCACCCACTACTATGTATTTGTACTATGATCATGATCTATGATCTATGTTTTTTCCCCAGAATTTATTACAAATATAATCATATAATTTCAAAATTAAATTATTATGAATTCAATAAGCATATATTATACCTATAAAAAAGAATATGCTATAACTGGTAGATTTTGAAGGAAATAGAAACTAAATCAAGGATTTGATTATAATTTTATATTAAAAATATAAGAAGATTTTTTGTTTTGATTTAAATTTTATGTTGTGAACTTTTGCACCAAATCTTGTAGTTATAGATCTAGCAAAATCTGTGATGGAATGAGGAGGACTGTTAAAAGTGGTTCATCTTTTAAAAAATTTAAAATTTCATATATTTTAGATTTTTTTTATTTTTATTGATAATATATTTTTCACTATTCATAAAATTTTATAAATTCTACTCCTAAAATATTATTAGTTTATCTTACATTAAAGCATGTATCTATCCCTACACAAAACCAAA